ATTTATATAGATGAGACATTTATACAGTTGTGACATTTATACAGGTGTGACATTTATATAGATGAGACATTGATATAGGTGTGACATTTATATAGGTGTGACATTAACATAGGTGAGACATTTATACAGGTGTGACATTTATATAGGTGAGACATTTATACAGGTGTGACATTTATACAGGTGAGACATATATATAGATGAGACATTCATATAGATGAGACATTTATACAGGTGTGACATATATACACGTGAGACCTGTATATAGTTGTGACATGTATATAGGTGTGACATTTATATAGGTGTGACATTTATATAGATGAGACATTTATACAGGTGTGACATTTATACAGGTGAGACATTTATATAGATGAGACATTCATATAGATGAGACATTTATACAGGTGTGACATTTATACAGGTGTGACATTTATATAGGTGTGACATTAATATAGGTGTGACATTTATATAGGTGTGACATTAATATAGGTGAGACATTTATACAGGTGTGACATTTATATAGATGAGACATTTATACAGGTGTGACATTTATATAGATGAGACATTGATACAGGTGTGACATTTATATAGATGAGACATTGATACAGGTGTGACATTTATATAGATGAGACATTTATACAGGTGAGACATTTATATAGATGAGACATTTATATAGGTGTGACATTCATATAGATGAGACATTTATATAGGTGTGACATTAATATAGGTGAGACATTTATACAGGTGTGACATTAATATAGATGAGACATTTATACAGGTGTGACATTTATACAGGTGAGACATTTATATAGATGAGACATTTATACAGGTGTGACATTTATACAGGTGAGACATTTATATAGATGAGACATTTATACAGGTGTGACATTTATACAGGTGAGACATTTATATAGATGAGACATTCATATAGATGAGACATTTATATAGGTGTGACATTAATATAGGTGAGACATTTATACAGGTGTGACATTTATATAGATGAGACATTTATACAGGTGTGACATTTATATTGATGAGACATTTATACAGGTGTGACATTTATATAGATGAGACATTTATACAGGTGTGACATTTATATAGATGAGACATTTATACAGGTGTGACATTTATATAGATGAGACATTTATATAGGTGTGACATTAATATAGGTGTGACATTTATATAGGTGTGACATTAATATAGGTGAGACATTTATACAGGTGTGACATTTATATAGATGAGACATTTATACAGTTGTGACATTTATACAGGTGAGACATTTATATAGATGAGACATTTATACAGGTGTGACATTTAAACAGGTGAGACATTTATATAGATGAGACATTCATATAGATGAGACATTTATATAGGTGTGACATTAATATAGGTGAGACATTTATACAGGTGTGACATTTATATAGATGAGACATTTATACAGGTGTGACATTTATATAGATGAGACATTTATACAGGTGTGACATTTATATAGATGAGACATTTATACAGGTGTGACATTTATATAGATGAGACATTTATACAGGTGAGACATATATATAGATGAGACATTTATATAGGTGTGACATTCATATAGATGAGACATTTATATAGGTGTGACATTAATATAGGTGAGACATTTATACAGGTGTGACATTAATATAGGTGAGACATTTATACAGGTGTGACATTTATATAGATGAGACATTTATACAGGTGTGACATTTATACAGGTGAGACATTTATATAGATGAGACATTTATACAGGTGTGACATTTATACAGGTGAGACATTTATATAGATGAGACATTCATACAGATGAGACATTTATACAGGTGTGACATTAATATAGGTGAGACATTTATACAGGTGTGACATTTATATAGATGAGACATTTATACAGGTGTGACATTTATACAGGTGTGACATTTATATAGGTGTGACATTAATATAGGTGAGACATTTATACAGGTGTGACATTTATATAGATGAGACATTTATACAGGTGTGACATTTATATAGATGAGACATTTATATAGGTGTGACATTTATATAGATGAGACATTTATACAGGTGTGACATTTATATGGATGAGACATTTATACAGGTGAGACATTTATATAGATGAGACATTTATATAGGTGTGACATTCATATAGATGAGACATTTATATAGGTGTGACATTGATATAGGTGAGACATTTATACAGGTGTGACATTTATATAGGTGTGACATTTATATAGATGAGACATTTATACAGGTGTAACATTTATATAGGTGAGACATTTATACAGGTGTGACATTTATATAGATGAGACATTTATATGATGAGACATTTATATAGGTGAGACATTAATATAGGTGAGACATTTATATAGATGAGACATTTATACAGGTGTAACATTTATATAGGTGAGACATTTATACAGGTGTTACATTTATATAGATGAGACATTTATATAGATGAGACATTAATATAGATGAGACATTTATATAGGTGAGACATTAATATAGGTGAGACATTTATATAGATGAGACATTTATACAGGTGTAACATTTATATAGGTGAGACATTTATACAGGTGTGACATTTATATAGATGTGACATTAATATAGGTGTGACATTTATATAGGTGTGACATTAATATAGGTTAGACATTTATACAGGTGTGACATTTATATAGATGAGACATTTATACAGGTGTGACATTTATACAGGTGAGACATTTATACAGGTGTGACATTTATACAGGTATGACATTTATATAGATGAGACATTTATACAGGTGTGACATTTATATAGATGAGACATTTATACAGGTGTGACATTTATATAGATGTGACATTTATACAGGTGTGACATTTATATAGATGTGACATTTATACAGGTGTGACATTTATATAGATGTGACATTTATACAGGTTTGACATTTATATAGATGAGACATTTATATGGATGTGACATTTATATAGATGTGACATTTACACAGGTATGACATTGATATAGATGAGACATTTATACAGGTGTGACATTTATATAGGTGAGACATTGATACAGGTGTGACATTTATATAGGTGAGACATTTATACAGGTGTGACATTTATACAGGTGTGACATTGATATAGATGAGACATTTATACAGGTGTGAGATTGATATAGATGAGACATTAATACAGGTGTGACATTGATATAGATGAGACATTTATACAGGTGTGACATTTATACAGGTGTGACATTTATATAGGTGATACATTTATACAGGTGTGACATTTATACAGGTGTGACATTGATATACAGTGGACCCTCAGATATCCGGACGCCAGATATCCGGATGCTTCAGTATCCGGACGATTTTTCTTCGGAACGAAATTTTTAAATGTCATTTTGTCTTGTTTAACTGGTGATTCAGATATCCGGATGCTTCACATATCCGGACAAATTGACTGGGAACCAAAGCGTCCGGATAAATGAGGGTCCACTGTAGATGAGACATTTATACAGGTGTGACATTTATACAGGTGTGACATTTATATAGATGAGATATTTATACAGGTGTGACATTTATATAGATGAGACATTTATACAGGTTTGACATTTATATAGATAAGACATTGATACATGTGTGACATTTTTATAGATGAGATATTTATACAGGTGTGACATTTATATAGATGAGACATTTATACAAGTGTGACATTTATATAGATGAGATATTTATACAGGTGTGACATTTATATAGATGAGACATTTGTACAGGTGTGACATTTATATAAATGAGACATTTATATAGGTGTGACATTTATATAGGTGTGACATTAATATAGATGAGACATTTATATAGGTGTGACATTTATATAGGTGTGACATTAATATAGATGAGACATTTATATAGGTGTGACATTTATATAGGTGTGACATTAATATAGATGAGACATTTATATAGGTGTGACATTTATATAGGTGTGACATTTATATAGGTGTGACATTTATACAGGTGTGACATTGATATAGATGAGACATTTATATAGATGTGACATTTATACAGGTGTGACATTTATACAGGTGTGACATTTATATAGGTGTGACATTTATACAGGTGTGACATTGATATAGATGAGACATTTATACAGGTGTGACATTTATATAGATGAAACATTTATACAGGTGTGACATTTATATAGATGAGACATTTATACAGGTGTGACATTTATATAGATGAGACATTTATATAGGTGTGACATTTATGCAGGTGTTACATTAATATAGATGAGACATTTATACAGGTGTGACATTTATAAAGATGAGACATTTATACAGGTGTGACATTTATATAGATGAGACATTTATACAAGTGTGACATTTATATAGATGAGACATTGAATACAGGTAAAACATTTTATTTAAAGGAAAAAAGTTTCTAGAAACGAACAGTGTCATCTTAAAGTAGGTTTATGATCGATATATTTTAAAAAGTGATCTTTTTAATGCGGAGGTTTCTGTAATTGGGTGCTGAGGATAAGTGATTGGTACTATAAAGCGTAACTGGCGAATGGACAGACAGACATCCCGAACACCACACACATGCACCCTTCCACTTTTCTAGCGAGGGGCATAAGAATATATGATATGGAAGACTTATCTCTTTTAGCAGGAAGATTTTGCACATTTTTGTCATTGAGTCATATGCTGACTGACATTTTTCATACTAGTCGTTAGTCCATTATTTATACACTGAATTAACGACGGATTTTCCCGTTTTTCCTAATCATGACAAGGAGCACACGGCGGTAGTGATCTCTCAGCATGGGATGCTCACTCCATGGCACTTGATCCCACCTCTGATGTTTCGGAGGTCCGTGTTTGCTCTGCCCCTATTTTGTATTGTTTGAGATTGAATACTGTCCGTTATCTTCTTTTTCATCTAATAAACAGCTACAGGAATTCATTAGAAAGAAATATATTTGATCCGATATATAGTAAATATTTGTACCGTTTTTAATTGCAGGTACCTTCCCTCTTATCTCAATCTGCTGTTACCAGAAACGATTTCCGTTTTGACAAGGTAAGCAAAGGTCTTCGATATTCCGTACTAAGCACAATCTATATTCTGAATGGTTCATAAAGAAAATGATTAGACTCGTGTTGAATTTCAAAACAAGAATTGGACCATCTTAAAACAATTGTTTGGATGTCCTCTCCTGACCAACTAAATATAAAATTGCCTGATTTAGAACTTTTTTCAAACCTTCCAGGACACAATATTTTTTTTCTTTAATATGAAGTTTTCTGGAAAAAAATCAAGCCTACCTACTTATCCGATAATTTTACACTGAGTCAGGAGAGAGCAAGGAAACATTGATTTTAAAATGGACGTATCAAGGGCTTAGCTTCTCCTTTATTCTGTGCTAAAGATGTTTATATTTTACTACTACCCCTTTTTAAGCAACATTCGAGTACGTTGAAAATTAATGGGACTTTCAGAGAGTATTTTGATTTTAAGTAAATGAAACTCTATTGTTTATATTTATGACATTATAGAACATAGGTGTTAATAAATAAATAAGAATGTATATTGACCGATTTACACATATATAAGGAGACCCTAGCCCATTGCCTTTTCTCATTTTACTTATGCCACTGTGAGACATGGTTACCGGTCCTTTGGATGACACTGTAGAATCCGAGGTCACAGTAGGTGATGGAACGACAATAAAAACGACAAAACAAGGTGTTCAATAATAACCTTTAGCTTATCGGAACATCTCCAACAAAAAATTACATAAACATATATTTTACAAACATTATGTATAAATTGGTCGGCTGGGGATGCTCACCCCTCCGTGGCACCCGACCCTTTATACGATGTTTTGGAGGTCTTTGTTTGCTCTGCTCCGTTTTTAATGGACATTTGAGCCCGAACATTGATTTTTTATCTTAATTTTTTTTATCATTTGTCTAGGTCGGAGAATGCCCTAGAAGCGCTCTACAAAGACCATGTATCAATGAATTGTGGTTTACTTTTTGTTTCAGTGACTATGACTGCCTTGGACGTACGTTCTTATCAACATATCTATATAAAATTTTGAAAACGTATTAAGCGTATAAAATTTGTTACAAAACAACTGTATGTATAAAATACAAGTATGTAAAACATACCGAAAAGATGCATTTCATAGAAGTAACTATATTGTATATCGTAATTTTATAACGGAAAAGAACATTCTAATGTATACAGTATAATATCTATTAATGTATAGTGAAACTTTAATTCTGAATCATTTTGCGGCGAATGCCCAGCCCAATGCCAAAATTTTAACTTATATGTATAAAGCAACCCTCTTCTACGGGCTGCAAGTAACAGAAAATCAAAATAAGAGTCCATATCATTGAATGTAAATTATTTTTTAATGAAATAGCAAATATCCTTTAATCTTGATAGATCAGAAGTGTTGTTTGTATGGCTGCGGACGTGAAAGACGGTGTATGGAGGCCATTAACGTACCTCATGGTAATACATTAACATAACATATGGTAATACATTAACGTAACACACGGTAATACATTAACATAACACACGGTAATACATTAACGTACCACACAGTAATACATTAACATACCACACAGTAATACATTAACGTAACACATGGTAATACATTAACATAACACAGTAACACATTAACATAACACATGGTAATACATTAACATACCACATGGTAATACATTAACATAACACATGGTAATACATTAACATAACACACGGTAATACATTAACATAACACACAGTAATATATTAACGTAACACACAGTAATACATTAACGTACCACACAGTAATACATTAACGTACCACACAGTAATACATTAACGTAACACACAGTAATACATTAACATAACACATGGTAATACATTAACATACCACAAGGTAATACATTAGCGTAACACACGGTAATACATTAACATAACACACGGTAATACATTAACATAACACATGGTAACACATTAACATAACACATGGTAATACATTAACATAACACATGGTAGTATATTAACGTAACATACAGTAATACATTAACGTAACACATGGTGATATATTAACGTACCACATGGTAATACAATAACATAACACACAGTAATACATTAACATAACACACGATAACACATTAACATAACACACAGTAATACATTAACGTACCACATGGTAATGCATTAACATAACACACAGTAATACATTAACATACCACATGGTAATACATTAACATACCACATGGTAATACATTAACATAACACATGGTAATACATTAACATAACACATGGTAATACATTAACATAACACATGGTAATACATTAACATAACACATGGTAATACATTAACATAACACATGGTAATACATTAACATAACACATGGTAATACATTAACATAACACATGGTAATACATTAACATAACACATGGTAATACATTAACATAACACATGGTAATACATTTACATAACACAAGATAATACATTAACATAACACATGGTAATACATTAACGTACCACATGGTAATACATTAACATAACACACAGTAATACATTAACGTAACACATGGTAATACATTAACATAACACACAGTAATACATTAACAAAACACACAGTAATACATTAACATAACACAAGGTAATACATTAACATAACACACAGTAATACATTAACGTAACACACGGTAATACATTAACATAACACACAGTAATACATTAACATAACACATGGTAATACATTAACGTACCACATGGTAATACATTAACATAACACATGGTAATACATTAACGTAACACGCAGTAATACATTAACATAACACACAGTAATACATTAACATAACACACAGTAATACATTAACATAACACATGGTAATACATTAACATAACACATGGTAATACATTAACATAACACATGGTAATACATTAACATAACACATGGAAATACATTTACATAACACACGGTAATACATTAACATAACACATAGTAATACATTAACATAATACATGGTAATACATTAACATACCACATGATGATACATTAACGAACAACATAGTAATACATTAACGTACCACATGATAATACATTAACGTACCACACAGTAATACATTAACGTACCACATGATAATACATTAACGTACCACATAGTAATACGTTAACATAACACATGGTAATATATTAACGTACCACACGGTAATACATTAACATACCACACAGTAAAACATTAATATAACACATGGTAATACATTAACATAACACAGGGTAATACATTAACATAAAACATAGTAATACATTAACATAACTCTTAGTAATACATTAACATAACACACGGTAATACATTAACATAACACACAGTAATACATTAACATAACACATAGTAATACATTAACATAACACATGGTAATACATTAACATACCACATGATGATACATTAACGAACAACATAGTAATACATTAACGTACCACATGATAATACATTAACGTACCACATAGTAATACATTAACGTACCACATGATAATACATTAACGTACCACATAGTAATACGTTAACATAACACATGGTAATATATTAACGTACCAAACGGTAATACATTAACATACCACACAGTAAAACATTAATATAACACATGGTAATACATTAACATAACACAGGGTAATACATTAACATAACACATGGTAATACATTAACGTACCACATGGTAATATATTAACATAACACATGGTAATGCATTAACATACCACATGGTAATACATTCACAAAACACATGGTAATACATTTAACATTCCACACAGTAATACATTAACATAATACATGGTAATACATTAACATAACACATGGTAATACATTAACAAAACACAGGGTAATACATTGACATACCACACATTGTAATACATTAACATACCACACCGTAATACATTAACATACCACACGATGATACATTAACGCACCACATGGTAATACATTAACGTACCACATTGTAATACATTAACATAACACACAGTAATACATTAACCTTCCACATAGTAATACATTAACATAACACATGGTAATACATTTACATAACACATGGTAATACATTAACATAACACATGGTAATACATTAACGTAAGACACAGTAACACATCAACATAACACACAGTAATACATTAACTTAACACACTGTAATACATTAACGTACCACATTGTAATACATTAACATAACACACAGTAATACATTAACATAACACATAGTAATACATTAACCTAACACATGGTAATACATTAACGTTCCTCACGGTAATACATTAACATAACACTTGGTAATACATTAACATACCACATGGTAATATATTAACATAACACGCAGTAATACATTAACATAACACACGGTAATACATTAACATAACACATGGTAATACATTAACGTAACACATGGTAATACATTAACATAACACATGGTAATACATTAACATAACACATGGTAATACATTAACATAACACATGGTAATACATTAACATAACACATGGTAATACATTTACATAACACAAGATAATACATTAACATAACACATGGTAATACATTAACGTACCACATGGTAATACATTAACATAACACACAGTAATACATTAACGTAACACATGGTAATACATTAACATAACACACAGTAATACATTAACAAAACACACAGTAATACATTAACATAACACAAGGTAATACATTAACATAACACACAGTAATACATTAACGTAACACACGGTAATACATTAACATAACACACAGTAATACATTAACATAACACATGGTAATACATTAACGTACCACATGGTAATACATTAACATAACACATGGTAATACATTAACGTAACACGCAGTAATACATTAACATAACACACAGTAATACATTAACATAACACATGGTAATACATTAACATAACACATGGTAATACATTAACATAACACATGGTAATACATTAACATAACACATGGTAATACATTAACATAACACATGGAAATACATTTACATAACACACGGTAATACATTAACATAACACATAGTAATACATTAACATAATACATGGTAATACATTAACATACCACATGATGATACATTAACGAACAACATAGTAATACATTAACGTACCACATGATAATACATTAACGTACCACATAGTAATACATTAACATACCACATGATAATACATTAACGTACCACATAGTAATACGTTAACATAACACATGGTAATATATTAACGTACCACACGGTAATACATTAACATACCACACAGTAAAACATTAATATAACACATGGTAATACATTAACATAACACAGGGTAATACATTAACATAAAACATAGTAATACATTAACATAACTCTTAGTAATACATTAACATAACACACGGTAATACATTAACATAACACACAGTAATACATTAACATAACACATAGTAATACATTAACATAACACATGGTAATACATTAACATACCACATGATGATACATTAACGAACAACATAGTAATACATTAACGTACCACATGATAATACATTAACGTACCACATAGTAATACATTAACGTACCACATGATAATACATTAACGTACCACATAGTAATACGTTAACATAACACATGGTAATATATTAACGTACCACACGGTAATACATTAACATACCACACAGTAAAACATTAATATAACACATGGTAATACATTAACATAACACAGGGTAATACATTAACATAACACATGGTAATACATTAACGTACCACATGGTAATACATTAACATAACACATGGTAATGCATTAACATACCACATGGTAATACATTCACAAAACACATGGTAATACATTTAACATTCCACACAGTAATACATTAACATAATACATGGTAATACATTAACATAACACATGGTAATACATTAACAAAACACAGGGTAATACATTGACATACAACACATTGTAATACATTAACATACCACACCGTAATACATTAACATACCACACGATGATACATTAACGCACCACATGGTAATACATTAACGTACCACATTGTAATACATTAACATAACACACAGTAATACATTAACCTTCCACATAGTAATACATTAACATAACACATGGTAATACATTTACATAACACATGGTAATACATTAACATAACACATGGTAATACATTAACGTAAGACACAGTAACACATCAACATAACACACAGTAATACATTAACTTAACACACTGTAATACATTAACGTACCACATGGTAATACATTAACATAACACACAGTAATACATTAACATAACACATAGTAATACATTAACCTAACACATGGTAATACATTAACGTTCCTCACGGTAATACATTAACATAACACTTGGTAATACATTAACATACCACATGGTAATATATTAACATAACACGCAGTAATACATTAACATAACACACGGTAATACATTAACATAACACATGGTAATACATTAACGTAACACACAGTAATACATTAACGTAACACATGGTAAT